ACCCTAGGTCCGTACTAAAAACCTAGTGGTCCATATTGAATTACCAAATTTAAGAAGGTTATGTTTGACAAATTTTCAAAAAATGTTAAGATTGTTAAGAAAAAAATGCTTTATATTATTTAGTTTATAGTTAACGGTTAGGTATTAGTTTCTTGACTGATTGAAGTAATAAAGACTTAATAGCTCGTCCTATTTCAGTTTTATTTAAAGAAATCGTTATGGTAGTCCATATTTAGAGAACTTACCCTACTATCTAGAAAATACCACAAATGGCGCGGTAAACGCCATCTGTAGTACGATGCTACATTTTAGGATTACGTGTGCTCCATCAAGGTTCATTTAAATATATGGATATCTTATTGCTGAAACGAATCCCGGCGTAGCTAACCTCAACGTGATAAGCACGTTACCATAATCGAATAGTATAATTCGAAGTGGTCTGTATTCTGTCGAAACTGCCAGACGCGGATCGCGATTTGGACCTTGTTGGAGCACACGTAATCCTAAAATGTAGCATCGTACCACAGACGGCGTTTAACGCGCCATTTGTGGTATTTTCTAAAACGCGCTGTTAAGACAGCAGGTAAAAGTTGGGCTGTGTTCTGTCTGAGCTGCCTGCGACGCGCTGATGAGATCCAAGAAGATCAAAATCGCGATCCGCGTCTGGCAGTTTCGACAGAATACAGACCACTTTAAAATTATTTTATTAATACTATCTCGCCTATTTTTTATTGACTTCCATGTAGTCGTCTGTTCTCCTATTCTTTCTAATACCTCTCCATTTCTAATGTTCTCTATTCACGGTATCTTCATCATTCGCCGGTAACTCCATATTTAGAACGTTTCTAACCTTTTCTTTTCCGTCATTCATAGGTCCAAAATTGATCCGAAAGTTTTGCAACGAAATCTAAAGGAATTTCATTTGGATCTGAACCACAATTTGAATTCATGGAATCAATTAACTGAATAAGATCCTCCCTTGAAATATGAAATTCGTCCATTAAACATTCACTATCTGTTCTGTAGAACGCGGGTAGCAGGGGGCTAGATTTAATATTTTCTTGCTGGATGCTTCTACATAATTGTACAGTTCACTCTTAACAATTACAAGGTACACATGAGAGATAATGGTAGCTATCATTTAGCTTAGCGTTCTATCCAGAAAACTTTTTAGTACTGTGCTTTTGGGGTGGGGGGACCGTCGGAAATAGGTGGTCCACCCTCTGAAGTGATGGGTGACACTCACGCTAAAAATCGAAACTAGGATAAGTACTGTGCAGTTCCTCGACTCTTATATAGACAGTAATACCTTCTTTTTGTTACAGGCAAAGCAGTTCCTTTCGTAGAGCTGACCGTGGCCCATGCTTCGGTTCTGACAATTCTAGCAATCAGTTTCGAGAGGTACTATGTTTTTGACGAGAAACAGTCTTCTCAATTGAATACAATCTGTTTTAGGCCTATCGACAATTTGAATGCACAAATCGCTTCCTTGCACTCTCTTACTGATTACAAAAAAGAAAAGTTTAAGCACAACTTCGTGATAGTCATGGTTGAATCCATGCATTGGAAAAGTTACTCAAAAAGCAAGTAATTGAAAGAATTTACATATACTGAACCGATTCAAATTTAAGTTCGTCATTGTATACAATTCGTAGGAAATGTGTATAATTCCTAAAATCGCCCGAAAATGTGTGAAATAAATTATATTAGACACATTTCCTAGGAAATTTATACATTTCCTTAATTACAACTGGAAATGTATTACAGGTAATACTAAATAGACAATAATACGGCAGACTGTTTGGAGATGTACCTATATCCATTGGTGACGTCATTGTTTGGTTAAGGAAATTTATGACACACTGGAGTTGCTTTAATANAAAAGAAAAGTTTAAGCACAACCTCGTGATGGTCATGGTTGAATCCATGCATTGGACAAGTTGCTCTGAAAGCAAGTAATTGAAAGGATCATTATGTTACATGTACTGAACCGATTCATGTTTAACTACATGCATTTGTTACCGGGAATGTATGAAGTCCGTCATTGTATACAATTCCTAGGAAATGTGTATAATTCCTAAAATCGCCTGGAAATGTGTGAAATAAATTATATTAGACACATTTCCCAGGAAATCTATACATTTCCTAAATAGCAATCGGAAATGCATTACAGGTAATACTAAATAGGCAATAATACGCCAGACTGTTTGGAGATGTACCTACATCCATTGGTGAGGCCATTGTTTGGTTAGAGAAATTTATGACAGACTGGAGTCGCTTTAATACTCCTGCCCGCCGGAAACGAGCTTATATGTTAGATATTAGAATAATGTGACGAGATTATCTTTTCTTCAGCAAACACGATGACCTTGAATTTTTAGTATGTTGTAGAGATGATAATGCTGATCATTTTCATATATATATATATATATGTTGCGCGCAGAGATCATAATGAAACATACTTTTCGAAGCCATTATTCCAACATATCCGCCCGCAATAACGTCACTAATGCAGATACATGTCGAAACCTAACCTAACAATCAATAACGTCACCAATGCATACACATTAGGCGATCGCACTAGAACCGCGTAAACCCAAATAATTCTGATTCTCAGTTTGCTAACGTGATTTATTAATTTTATTCATAGCAAGTATTAGTTTTATACATTTCCTAGCATCATATCGAAATTTCATACGCTTGCTAGGAAATGTATACCTTTCTCAGGATAATTATGTATGTATCTTTAAAACAATATTTTACACATTTCCTAAACAGCCTCGGAAATTGTATACATTTCCCAGGAACTGCATACAATTCCTAGATTTCATACATTTCCGGTAATATCAATACTATTGTNGTTAAGAAAAAAATGCTTTATATTATTTAGTTTATAGTTAACGATTAGGTATTAGTTTCTTGACTGATTGAAGTAATAAAGACTTAATAGCTCGTCCTATTTCAGTTTTATTTAAAGAAATCGTTATGGTAGTCCATATTTAGAGAACTTACCCTACTATCTAGAAAATACCACAAATGGCGCGGTAAACGCCATCTGTAGTACGATGCTACATTTTAGGATTACGTGTGCTCCATCAAGGTTCATTTAAATATATGGATATCTTATTGCTGAAACGAATCCCGGCGTAGCTAACCTCAACGTGATAAGCACGTTACCATAATCGAATAGTATAATTCGAAGTGGTCTGTATTCTGTCGAAACTGCCAGACGCGGATCGCGATTTGGACCTTGTTGGAGCACACGTAATCCTAAAATGTAGCATCGTACCACAGACGGCGTTTAACGCGCCATTTGTGGTATTTTCTAAAACGCGCTGTTAAGACAGCAGGTAAAAGTTGGGCTGTGTTCTGTCTGAGCTGCCTGCGACGCGCTGATGAGATCCAAGAAGATCAAAATCGCGATCCGCGTCTGGCAGTTTCGACAGAATACAGACCACTTTAAAATTATTTTATTAATACTATCTCGCCTATTTTTTATTGACTTCCATGTAGTCGTCTGTTCTCCTATTCTTTCTAATACCTCTCCATTTGTCGTATTTTCTAAAACGCGCTGTTAAGGCAGCAGGTAAAAGTTGGTCTGTGTTTTGTCGGAGCTGCCTGCGACGCGCTGATGAGATNGAATTTCTAATTTTATGTACTCTTGTCTCCTATTGTACCTCCCAAACATCCTTAACTATTTGCGAACAATAATCTAATCTAGGTCTGCCTCTACTCTTCTTAGCTCCTGTTTCTGCCTCGAATATGTCTCTGACTAGGCCTTCATGCCTTTACCAACCTATCTCGCCTATTTCTTATTGACTTCTATATAGTCCTCTGTACTCCTATTCTTTCTAATACCTCTTCATTTCTAATCTCCTCAATCCACGGTATCCTCATCATTCGGCGGTAACACCACATTTCGAACGATTCTACCATTTTCTAATCTTTTCGCCATCCATAAGTCCAATAAAATTGATCCGAAAATTTTTCAACGAAATCTGAAAGAATTTCGTCTGGATCTGAACCACAACTCGAATTCATGGAATCAGTTAACTGAATAAGATCCTCTCTTGAAATATGAAATTCATCCATTAATCATTCACTATCTGTTCTGCCGATCATGGGTAGCAGGGGGCTATATTTAATATTTTCTTGCTGGACACGCTGTACAGAATTGTAAGGTGCACTTTTAACAATTAAAAGGTACACTTGAGAGTTAATAGTAGCTATCATTTAGCTTAGTGTACTATCCAGAAAACTTTTAAGTACTGCGCTTTTTTTTTTACTTAGATTATTCTCGAGGAGGGGAAATCTTCAAAAGACGACCCTTGAAGGGAGGTAGTTTCGGATTTTTACCGACTAAAACCCCTCCTCGAGTGGCGAGATAAACCCTAAGGGTTGCCCATACCCATGAAGAGTAAGGAAAGTTGGGATTGGAGAAAGGTTGAGAAGGGAAAATTGTTTAGCTTGGGGGGTATTGGTGGGGGGGACCGTCGGAAATAGGTGGTCCACCCTCTGAAGTGATGGGTGACACTCACGCTAAAAATCGAAACTAGGATAAGTACTGTGCAGTTCCTCGACTCTTATATAGACAGTAATACCTTCTTTTTGTTACAGGCAAAGCAGTTCCTTTCGTAGAGCTGACCGTGGCCCATGCTTCGGTTCTGACAATTCTAGCAATCAGTTTCGAGAGGTACTATGCCATCTGTAAACCTCTAAAAGCTGGATACATTTGTACCAAAGCCAGAGCATCACTTATCTGTCTTCTCGCATGGCTCGTAGCAGCACTTTGTACTAGGTAAGTAAAAATAATACACTATAACTTACAATGCATAACTATAACTATACTAGAAGAATTTCTGTAAAAATGCACGTTGCATGAATCCTTTCTTGCATTAGCATGCTCTCACTTGAATTCTATTAGAATTTGCACAACGCGCAGCACTCTTGAATAGAACCTACTTGCCACAGTGGCGTAGCGTGAAAGGGGGAGGCAAAGGGGACAATTCCGGGCGGCGCGAAAGTAGGAACAGCAAAAATATTTTTTCGATATTAGATGCCCCAATTGCTTAGTATTTGTACCAATGTGGGAGGGGGGTCGAAAGAGGAGGTCTCTCCCACCACTATACCATAAAAAGTTTGTGGCGGTCTCACCCCCATAAAAAGTTATGGGGGTTCAAAGTTAATAAATATGCCAATTTTTATACATTTCTAGGCATGTAAATATTTATATAGTCATTCTTAAACAATATTCAAAGGTAAAACTAATGAAAAATCCATAAAAATATTGAGAAAGTTATATAAAACATTATTTAAATATCTTTATCAATAGGGTAGGTTAGGTTAGGTTAGATTATCGGGTTTTGTTCAAGTGACCACCCTCTTTCGATCCCCCACCTCCACCCGATTGAAAATAATTTTTTTATTGAATTTTATTTGAATTATAGTGTATGAAAATTGTCAAAATAATCAACTTTCAACCCTCATAACTTTCTATGGAGGTGAGACCACCGCAGATTTTTTATGGGATTTTACTCAGGTGACCACCCTCTTTCGATCCCCCCTACCCTCTTTAGATCCCCCTATCCCACCCCCATCTTACCCCCATAACTTTTTATGGGGGTGAGACCGCCACGAAGGGGTTGGGGGCCATCATCTAGATATTTACCGATGTAAGTTATATGAGACCTTTGCAATCTTTTCAACTTAATCATAAAACACCTCGTGAGAGCGAGAGCGCATTATCGGGGAATCCCTGAACATGCGTTTTGCTTTCGAACATAGACAAGTAGGATTGTCATATTTGTTGAAATATGGCAATTGTTCAAACCAGAATCTACCAAATTTTGCAGAAAAATCATAAAAATACATACATAAATATTACTAACATAATCACCATACAGACCCCATCTCTTGTAATACGAACGAGTATACAAACTCAGAATAAAATGCACTTTATTAACGTTATCAACAAACAATGTAATTCTTTACAATAGAAAAATAGTTGCAATAGTTGCAGTAGTCGTTCGTGTCTTGTGGTATAATGTCCCATTTTTATATGGTAAATTCGCAATCCGGTTGTTGACCCTTTTGCCCATGAATACTTGTTTATCCCTGCAACCGTCCATTGTTTTCCGAATTTTCCGTCGGCATAACCCGATATAGTCCATACAAGACGACTTCTCCTCGACTGGGAGTCATACTCGACCCTCCGCATGCCTTGCTTAAGATACCGGGTGTTCGTACCACCCTATATCATAAAAAAGAAACAAAGAAAAGAAGGGCGGTAAATTTAGGCTTCGCCCCGGATGACAGAAATTTACGCTACGCCACTGACTAGCCATAAAAAACACTGTTCAAAACCAATCTTACACAAAATTTCAACCATTACACGATCCATATGCTACCTAATCTACCTAACCAAACAATAACGTCACCAATGCATATACATCTCCAAGCGGCCTGCCGTATTATTGCCTATTTTATGTCATAGGCCGCCAAATATTGTTTTTCAACATTCGATAACTATGCTTCATTATCATTTCCGCGCAAAACATATATATATCATAATGATCAGCATATCTGTATCTACAACATACTAAAAATTCATATCCATTAGCAACATCATTGTTTGGTTAGGTAAATTTACGACAGAATGGAATTTATTTAATATCCCTGCCCGCCGAAACCGGGCTGATATGTTAAACTATTTTATTCACAGAAAGCATTAGTTTTATACATTTCCTAGTACAATATTGGAATTTCATACAATTCCTAAGAAACGTATACATTTCCCAGAATATGTGTGTATTAAAAAATCTTTGAAACAATATTTTATACATTTCCTAAATAGCCTCGGAANGAATGCGACAGTGGCTGTGTGTGTCGCGACCATGACAAGATCGACAAACAAACTGTGGCGTCGTCGCTAAAAGACAGTAACGAAGAATTCTTTCCATTATTTCGAAGTTGTAGAAAATATAACGCCGTTAGTGGGAACTCACGATTCAAAAAGGACAAGAAAAATATACTCGCAACTGAACAAGTACAAACTGACCACGCTGATAACAGCGAAAGTTTTGTATAGTTAGGGACATGACATTCTTGAAGAACAATTTACTATAGAAACCACCACTGAAAGATCCCATCAACATACCGTAAATCGTCGCATTAATGCAAGATTACTAAATAGAAAGGAAGAGGCAATATATCGTCATCTGTGGAGTTGTAATAGAAATATATAATATTGTAGAAATTCACAATATTTATGTTCCTTCTTAAATGTTATGAGTGTGTACAATTGTGTGTGTCAATTTCTATAGTTTCTCGTTTCTTAAATTTTATACATAGATATTGTTACATAGTATCATCTAACATCCGCATCATGCATACCATAATTAAATATTACCCCTTTTGACCAATTGTATTCTCGTTTCGTACCGTGAAGATAAATCGCCCTTAATAAGTTTTAGAAAACAATTATATTCCGCTTGACATAGTTCTTTAAGGATTCAAAAATTATGCGCTATGGAGAACATTCTTACCTAATTTTGGTAACTGATAAACTACGTCTGTTCCAGAAACAGGTTTTTTATTTGAAATTCTAAATCATTTTTTTTAAATGTAAATATCTATTAGCAAGCTTTCGTTGAAGTAAAAAACTGAACTCGTAGTATTAAACAAATATGTACTAGTTTTGTCTTTAGTAAATTAATTTTTGAATTGATTTTACCCGCTGCAGATAACCTCAAATTAATGAATAATTGAACTAACGCTACAAGAAAATCCAAAATGTCTCATTAATAATAATGATTATACATTAGTTCGACCCTTCTACGATCTATAACTGTTAGGTACGTATCGTTAGCGTTGCTACTGTCACCTCTTAGTAGCTTGCTGAGTAGAGTACTGGTGCGTAAAACCAGGGGCTCGGGGTTCAATTCCCGGCAAGGAAGTGACAGAAGCAACAATTTTTCATCATTAAATGGAGGTTATCAATCAATTCAAGAATTAATTCACTAATACATTGAATTTAACGTTACAAAAATTCAAAAGTATCTCAGAAAAAGAAGTATCCTTCATAATGCAGGAACAAACGCTATTGATACATATTATAAAGACGGAACGCAATCAAACAATTGGTAAAAGGCTTTAATGGTCACTACAAGTCCTTCCACCATTGAGACGTCACGGTATCAAAAGGTCATCCCCAAAGCTCAATGATTTATCGATTTTCAAAGCCAATTTTAACGAAAAGTTCATGAAAATCATATTTGTTTTCAACGGTGTGGTTGTTTTTTATGACTAATCATTATAATAATTGTCGTTTCACACTGTTTTTCAGTGTCATGTTTTAACCCAATTATAAAACTTGATTCTAATTCAACGACAAAAGCTACTCAGAAGTAGCTTGGGCTGCAACTTTACGTAGCAATGCTTTGAAGTTAGGATATCTCAGTCGTGAAGCTCTAAGGCAATTCTGCGGCCAATTTGGTCGCAAATTACGTCGATAACGAATACCCTTTTGTTTTTTCCTTTTCAACGGCCGATTTTATTAGCTATGTTCTCATTTAAAATATTATATGCCATCACGGGAAAAGATGCAGTAAAAATAGAAGATACTTCCTGAGGAATATCAAAGTTTAATTTCCTTTCTTTGCCAAAAGTGCATCATCCACCTAAAATTAAATTAGTTTACTCTTATATTTTGCTTACATACAATAAATTATTATTTATCATCTCGACATTTTGAAATGTTACATGACATGAATCCAATTAACAGTTTAAAAGAAGGAAATAGAAATTGAGAACGAATGAATAAAGCATTCATATTAAACAACTGGGGCTTGAGTAGATCCGTTCAAATCTATTATTTACAGGGAGTGGAAAACCAAAACAAAGAATACAAAGGGTAGAAAGAGTGAAAAGTAATGATTCGTTGAAAATGAAAAACGTGCCGTTTGTACGTTATCGTTCTGTTAAACGAGTGGAATGTAACAGCCAAGAAGTTCCTTTTAACATTTATTACCAACGCAAACTGTGCCCCAAATGCCAAACACCCTCATCCTTTCGCAGATATTACACGATCAATGGACCTACATGATTGTATGTAATCCGGCAAATGCCTTCTACTGGGATAGAACGTTTAAAATTTGCAATTCTATTGCGAAAATATGAAAAATCAATTAACTAAACCTACATAAAATGCATTCGTTCTAGTTTAAAATCGAACCGGCTGTTTTCAAATAAATGGGACGGCAAAACTACACTCGGTTTTTCGGGATCTGGAAAAAACGATATGTTTTTTGAGTTGTCGGTCAGATCCTTCAACCATCACGTTAGGAAGCGCAATACGTGGAAGATGCCAGGTGATTTAGGAAAACATCAGTTAGATTACATACTTGTTAGGCAAAGATTCAAAAATCAAGTGGAGGACTGTAGGAGTTATCCAGGAGCAGATATAGATAGCGATCATAACTTAGTAGTTATGAAGACCAATCTTAAATTGAAAATTTTGAAAAAAAGGGAAGGTAGGAGACGTCTTGACTTAGAAAAGTTAAAATGTAACAAAACTTGTGATAGACTAGGTACAAGGCGGTGGGAGAAACGAATGACAGGGACATAGAAACAGAATGGAACTGAATTAAAATGTGCCTAAAGTCAGCAGCTACAGATATACTAGGTCTTAAACTAAACGAAAGTAAGAAGCCCTCGATAACACACGAGTTTGTAGAATTGATAAAAGGCGGAAATACAAAAACAGGGCAGACGAAGAAGGGAAAAAAAAGATATAAGACT